GTCTCAGACCCAGACAGGCTATTATGTATATATTATCGTATATACAGGGAGAGAGATGGTTGAAAGAAAACAGAGCATGACGTCCTTTAATCTGCACATTTTGTTTATTTGTATCTTTCTTCAGATCACAACGAATCACTCAGTGATGGAGGAACTGATGTCAGTTACTGGAAAAAATATGAAGATATATCCCTTCATTAGTCAAGGAGGAGTCTTGACGGATTTCTTCATTTTCTTCTGCATTATTTCCTTTTCCCCATTCACTTACTACGCGTCTATTAATGTGACAAGAGAGAGGAAGAAGATGGCGGGCTTGATGAGGATGATGGGTCTTCGAAATTCCGCATTCTGGTGAGTAAAGTGTCGCACCAGTCAATAAATGTAGGACTTCAGCAAAGAGGGGCTCGTCAATGCATCGTTATTAAAATCAAATGATTTTCTGACTTTTCCCCTTTCCCCCTCTGAATGGGATAAATGGTCCTTGGGGTACTGCTTGCCGGGCTAAGGCTGGGTCTTACTGTACTTTTGTGTCTGAAGAAAGAACATCACGCTGGGGTTTGCCGGGTGATTGCGAAGCCGGGATATTGGGGATGGCCACTGAGTCTACAGTTAAGAGTGTGGTAGAGGTGATAGACTTTGGCGTCTAAGCCAGTTAGGAGTGGAATTCAAGCCAGGATGGGACTGAAAAGGGAAAAAAAGAGGTCAAGGATCAGGAGCCCTTTTGAGGCTGAAGAACGGGTCTGATGGATGTATTTGAGGGAAGAAGCTGGCAGAACAAGATTGTGTATAAAAGGGCCGGGTAGTTGGAATTTAAACGGTCAGAGGTTGAGTAATGCCAAAGATGGATAAGGTCCTGTGTGAAAACTTGTGAATAACTGACTGAAAGAGCGTGGAGGTGATGTTTACAGTGAGAGGGAAGTAAAACAACAGAGATGCTAGGGAGCTGGGTGGAACACACGTATGGCAACAGGTTAGGAGTCTGGAAGAAAATCCCATACATCAGTGTTGACCTCGGTATTGAATTAATTTAATATTTCTTAAGTTCTTAAAACATCCCGCAGCACATCATAATGGCTGTACGTGTCTATTTTATTTAAATTTTGTGGCTGGTTTTTTTTTATTATTATTACTTCATTATACCCTTCAAAGACTATTAATAAACAAGACAAAGGAATTGTTGAAGAAAGGGAAGTGAACGATTCTGTCTCAACAGAAAATGGAGTTAAAGGCTAGTGTGTCGACTATTTGGATGAAAACAGCTTCTGGAGAAAGAAGAAGGTGGAGAATTTCGTTTCTCCAGGGAAATTCATGAAGCCCCTCACCCGAGAGCCCCCAGAGACAGAAAAAGACCTGAGCTTCACCGAGGGGTCAGCTTGTACCAGGCCAGGATCCCTCACGGCCCTGACCTCATCCAGTCCTCACTGCAGTGTTCCTCCTGTGGTCCGGGGCAGTGAGAACTCAGAGGCACTGCAGTTTGCCCAAGGTCCCAGAGGAACAATGCAGCTGAAAATGTTTGCACCAAAATCTGTTGGACTGGAAGCCTGTTTTTCCCTTGTTGTCACAATGACTGTGTGTGTGTGTGTGTGTGTGTGTGTGTGTGTTTATTTCTGGAACTAATTTCAGAAAAAAGAATATTCCTGATTCCTAAAGAATATTTCCCTTGTATTGTCATATCCTAGAAACTCCATAAAATATCTGCTGAATGAATAAGTGAATAAACAAATGAGGTGAGAATCCAGTCTAGGTCTTCGTTTTCAATCGAACATGAAATACTAAAATGGCACTGTGTTTCCACATTAGGCTGTCCTGGGGTTTGCTCTATGCTGCTTTCGTCTTCATCGTGGCCCTTTTTTTGACACTGATTGTGAAATCTGCCCAGTTTGTCATCCTGACTGGCTTCCTGACGGTCTTCGCCCTCTTTCTTCTGTATGGATTGTCCTTGGTGAGTCGGTGAATTCAGTTTCTTCCCATCCAGCTCTGACCCTAGTGATCAAGTGTTGGTTTCCAATTAAGTTATCACCCCATATATCCTGTTTCTTCTCTGTCTGCTCTGTTTGCATGAGAAAATCTGCACACTGGTAGCATTTGAATTGGGGTGTGTTGTGATGCCAATTTGTAGTGCAATTTGCAGAAGACAGTTTTGTATTTTACGGACAAACTAATAATATAACTGATTTTGTATAGTAAATCTCTTATTTTATTATGTTACAGAATAATTCTTAGAGAAACATAAGCCAACTGGATCTTGTCTTATTTTAGATAGCTTTGACTTTTCTGATGAGTGTCTTGGTAAAGAAATCTTTCCTCACCGGCCTGGTCATGTTCCTTCTGACTGTCGTTTGGGGAAGTCTGGGATTCATGGCATTGTACAGATACCTTCCTGCTTCCTTGGAGTGGATTTTAAGTTTTCTTAGCCCCTTTGCCTTCATGCTTGGAATGACCCAGGTAAGAAGCAACTGTGTGTTTTTAATGACATTTCTGAAACATCTTTTCCCTCTGAAATTTGTCATCTGTAACCATGTCCCATGTTCATCATTGTAAGGCTTAAAACTTTAATGAAAACTATTGTGAGGTTGCAAAGATGCACTTTTAAAAGCTTTAGAAGTATACAGTCCTGCAAAATAAGCCATTTTGTACATGAAAAAAATGGAGGATCAATATATAATTCTTTAGAGGCAATATGAAGTTTTTTCTTTGACTATTAATTAAATACGGACTTGACGTTGCAAATCTAATTCTAAACAACTATTCCAGATCATATTTTGACTTAGTAATTAAACATCACACATGATTGTAAAAAAACACAAAGTAAAAGGAAAGAAAGAAGTTAAAAACGCCTTGAAAACATATTAATTGATTAGTAAATTATGTTTCTGTTCATAAAATGTCTTTTCTCTTTGTCTGATTCTCGAGTTGAACTTACTTTACCATCCCTCCAATTAAATGGTAATAATGTTAATCATTACATATCCATTATTTAGTGGTTAATAAAAGGGTTATTCGCTATAATGTACTCATTAACTTGAACTTTGCAGACAAGCCCACTTTTCCCACTGGTTCTCTCCTTAAACACAGCGGTGTTTTTTTCCAAGAGCATAAATTCTCTTTCATGCAGCCATTTTTAAGGTGTGTCACACCTCTTTCCTGTCTTATTTGGTAAAAAAAATATCTAAGGTGGAGCTCAGATGTCATTTTCTTCCCCATAGCTTTCTCTCTTCTCCCAGTGCTCCACTTTCATTTGGAACTTATTTTTATCATAACAGTTACTCAGTTGCATCGTGGTTGGTCGCATGTCCATGCCTTCAGTCAGATCTGAGAGTTGTAATGTAGGCAGTCTCATTCAAACTTACATTCCCAGGATGAGACAAAGAGTAGCTATTTTATTTTTATGCTAAACCTGTTTATAATTCATCATAAACCCAACTGCCTTTAATTGACTGCTTTTTAACTTTCAGCTTTTACACTTGGACTATGATCTGAATTCGAATGCATTTCTCAATCCATCGGACAGCTCGAACCTAATAATAGCAACAAATTTCATGTTGGTTTTTGATATTTTCTTCTATCTGGCACTGGCGATTTATTTCGAAAAAATTTTGCCAAGTGAGTAGTGTGATGATTAAAATCGATCATCATTTTAATAATTTTATTTCCTAAAGTGAGTCTCCTAACACATCTGTTATTTATATTTTTAAGAACTACTTTGTGCATCAACAGGAAGAAAATGAATAAGGTCGTCGCCACTGGTCAAATTTGTTCTCTGTTTCTCTCTTGCTACTTGACTTATCAGATCCAAACGAAGCCTGAACTTTGTTTATAGAATCAGTAACCTTTGTTTGAACTTCAAGTGTATGGCTTCTTTCTTAAGAGAGGCTCAGAAAGCTAGTTCCTGAATGGCTCTGGCCTGGTACTTATCATGGAAATTTAGACCCACCTCAGTGTCTGATGCACATTAGGGGCTCAGTAAATATCTGTGGCCAAAACACAGGTTCATTTTTTTCCCTCCCTTCTTTTAATCAAAGGCAGTGTTGATGTCTTTGACCTCTACATTTCCTATTCAAAACAGAATGACAGGTGCCCTTAATTATATGATATAATCCAGCAATCCCACTTCTGGGTATATATCCAAAGGAAATAAAATCACTATCTCAGAGAGGTATCTGCACTCCCGTGTTCACCACAGCATTATTCACAGCAGCCGAGATGGGGAAACGACCCAAGAGTCTGTGAACAGGTGATGGAATACAGACTATATGGTGTACATGTGTACACACACACACACACACACACACACACACACACACGATGGAATATTACTTAGCCTTAAAAAAGAAGGGAATCCTGCCATTTGCAACAATGTGGGTGAACCCAGAGGACATTATGCTAAGTGAAATAAGCCAGACACAGAAAGACAGATACTGCCTGATCTCACTTATATGTGGAATCTAAAAAAGTCAAGCTCACAGTAACAGAGAGTAGAATGGTGGTCAGTCACCAGGGGCTGGGGTGGTGGGTAGGGAGAATGGGAGAAGTTAGTCCAGGGGTACAAACTTTCATGTATAAAATGAATAAGTTCTGGAGACAATGAACAGCACAGTAACTGTAGTTAATAATAACGTTTTATATGCTTACAATTTGCTAAGATAGTAAATCTCGAGTGTTCTCACCACACACACAGCCACGTGCCAACAGTAACTATGTGAGGTGATGGATACATTAATTAGTAATTATTTCACAATGTATACACGTATCAAAACATTACATTGTATACCATAAATATATATGATTTTTACTTGATCATAGTCATATATAAAGCTGGAAAAATTATGAAAATCACTAATGAAATAAACACATTGAGTAGCTAAAACGAACAAACAAAAAAATCAGTGACTAAACACCTGTGGAAAGGAAGAAGGAGAAAGAGTAGGAGTGAAGACACAGAGCCAGGTCTTGAAACAGTGACTTGATCATGTTCTTTTTCAATAATCCCATATAAACAGTAACTGTCTCTGCCTTTTAGGAGAGTCCAGTGTCAGGATCTACCGTCTTGGGCTATTGCCTTTATTTTATGACTGGAATTATTTAAATACATACACTATGTTTTCATTTTATTTTTGCCATCAGAGGTGAAAATTACTCAGCTCTACTGAAAATTCTTTTCATCTCTTAATATTCTAAGCTTTTCTACCCCATGCTAACATTGCAAAATACATTTAAGTACTTCTCCTCTGTTCTACTTGGTTGGTTTTGCTTTCATGGTGAAATCTCAATGAACTTTGTTGGTATTTACATCACAGGCTCTTTAATCCTGGAGCCCTTTAGTGCAGGAGACTTACTTCTATGACCCTTGTAGCTACCTATTAATTCTCTGTGAAAGAGCCTACTCATTTTTCCTTCCATAGTTTGTTTTTTTCCAATGTGTTTATTCCCAATGTATCTGCAAGCAGATGTCACTATATTTGCAACTTCTTAATAGTATCTATCCCCTTAGGTAAGCGTTTCATCAGTTTAAATGTTCTCTTGTTGTGCATTATGTGATGTATTTCTCCTTTCTGCAGGCCTTGTTTCGGTCACAGTCAGATGGCAACAGTGTAAATATTCTATCTTTATGATGCTGTTTTAGGCTTGCGGGAGAAGAGGGCTTTTCCATTCTTCCCTTCTAGGTTCTTTGGCTGGCTTAACAATGAAATGGACGTGAGACAGATTAATGGGAGAAAAAGAAATTAAATTTCATAAGCATAGGAGCTCATAGAAATATAAGACTCTAAGAAGTGGCCAAAGTAGGCAGCTTTTATACCTTTTAAACAAAGAAACAATTATTTGTGAAAACTTGACACAGGGGTTTGGCCTTGGGGTAGCAAATTAATGGAGGAGTATTAATGTTTCTTTGTATAGTTTCCTCGGCCAGGAATCCCCTATCTCTGGCGATAAGGATGCCTTCCAGCCTCCAGGTGCAGGGGGCATAGCCTTCACATGGGGAATTTACTTTCTGTTTTCAAGAACACAACAGAGGATCAGAGTGTTCTTTCACCAGCTTTTTTTTTTTTTTAAGATTTTTTAGAACAAAACAAGAGATATCACCAGCTATTTTTAAGTAACTGTAATTCAGAATAATCATTAAGCAACAGTGGCATATTTTGGAGTCGCCCATTCTGAACCCCATCAGTCTCTTCCTATATAAGTATTGTTCCATTTTCATCCCTCTGTCTTATTTTTTTGCTCAGCATTTTATTCTTGTCAAAAAGCTATTTTTCATATGTGTACATTTTTCAGTTTCAAAACCATTTCATTTTATTAATAGAACTAGAAAGTTTCTTTAAACTGAACTGCTTGATTTTCTTCTTAATTACCATCCGTTCGTGAAGCCTGAATTTAAGATCAGGGGCAACTTTGTTCAAAATTCTTCTAAAGATGAGAAATATGAATAACAGAAAGGAAAATTAACTAGATAAAATAACAGAATCATGTAGTGGTAAATCTGGTGGCAGAATGTATCCAATTATAGTTACCTGCCTTTATTTGCTGAACTTCCAAATAAAGGGGGTGAGATGGACAGTAATTAATGATATACCTTATACTAGGTAGACAGAGAGGGCTCATACATTTTTTGTATGCATGAATGACTGAACCTGTGAAAAGTACACATAAGTTTGAAAACCCATCAATCTTACAGTGGCGGTCAGTTGCAGAATATTAGAAAAATAGAATTATTCCATGTCATAGTACCTCCTAACATGCATGAAAACAGAATTGATTACTAAGTGCAAATAACACTGTGGATTCGTTTCCAGAAAGAGTTTCATGGATAATATATTCTTAAAGCAGATAATAAATTTGCTGCAGAGGAAAGTTACTATTTGGAGATGAGATAAAGCATGAATACAAGGTAGCTTTTTAAAAAACTCCACTGTGTATTGTTTCAATAAATCATTTTGCCCATTCTCTCCCTTTCTTACAGTATATCGCTTATTTTTGTGAAAGCCTGTTCTATTTTCTCCTGGAATATTCGTTTTATATATTCAATAGCAACTTCTCAATTTCTTCTTCCTTTCCCAGTGTAATGACACCTGGACTCCTACATAGAATTCAGCATGCATGGCATATTCCAGTATCTGGCTTTATTGAAGTTAAAAAAAAGTCTTAACATTTAAGCTCCTGGCTTTTTAAAAAATTTTTATACAGTTTTTAAAGGTTACTTTCCATTTACAGTTACTACAAAAGACGAGTTATAGTCCCTGTGCTGTGTAGTACATCCATGAGCCTGTCTTAAACCCAGTGGTTTGTGCTCCCACCCCACAACCCTGTCTCACCCCTCCCCCCAACACACTGGTAACCTCTAGTTTGATCTTTCCATCTGTGAGTCGTCTTCTTTTTTATTATATTCACTAGTTTATTGTATTTTTTAAGTTCCACATATAAGTCATATCATACAGTGTTTATCTTTCTCTATCTGACTTATTTCAGTCAGCATAATGACCTCCAAGGCTATCTATGTTGCTGCAAATGGCAAAATTTCATTCTTTTTTATGGTGAGTAGTATTCCAATGTATATATACCACTTCTTTATTCATTCTTCTGTTTATGGGCACTTAGGTTGCTTCCATACCTTGGCAATTATAAATAATACTGCTATGAACATTGGGGTGCATGTATCTTTTCGAATTAACATTTTTGTTTTTTTCGGATACATACCCATGAGTGGAATTGCTGGACATAACGGTAGTTCTATTTTTAGTTTTTGGACAAACTTCCATACTGTTTTCCACAGTGGCTGCACCAATTTACATTCCTACCAGCGTGAATAAGGGTTCCCTTTCTCCACATTCTCACCAACATTTGCAATTTGTGTTCTTTTTGATGATTGCCATTCTGATAGGTGTGAGGTAAGATCTCACTGTGGTTTTGATTTGCATTTCTCTGATGATTAGCAATGTTGAGCATCTTTGCATGTGGCTCTTGGCCATCTGCACATGCACTCTCCCTCCAGGATTTTTTAAATCACAGCTTCATTTCTTCCTACAGAAGCAATAATCAAAATAGAGACATCCTAGTGATTGTTTTTCCTTGTGAAGTTATGCACATCGAAACGTGCATTTCCTTCTGTCGACCATGTGTTCAGGCTTATCAACAAAGAGTGTGCATTGCTCTGCTGCATTAGGGTGACTGTCCCCCTTACAGTCATAATTGACCCATTGTTTGTCTCCTGGTCATGTAGATGAGTATGGACATCGATATTCACCCTTGTTTTTCCTGAAGTCTTCATTTTGGTCAAGACAACGACGGGCTGATCACATGGCCCTTGAAGATGAAATAGATTCCAGTCCTTCTTCTAATGACACTTTTGAACCAATGTCCCCAGAATTCCACGGGAAAGAAGCCATCAGGTAACAGGGACACAAGGGGAGAACTGGCCAAAAACTGAGAAGCTGAGTTAGCTCCTGAAGTAAGCAAGGTTCTCTTTTGTGCCCCATGGTTAGCTCCCACCTAACCTCACCCTTGCTCCTCACTCCCCACTTCAAGTTTAAAGAAAGCTTCCTTTAACCCCTGCTGTCTTGTTGACATTTACAGCAAATTTAGATTTCACCAGCAAACATCCTTCAACGAAGCCTTGCCTGGATTCTCAATCTTTTACCTGTTTTTGTTTCTCTTGTCCCTGCTTACCCTCACTCATTTCTTTGTTGGGTCTCATTCATTCACATTTTGCCTGCACCTCATTCATTATACGCCCCATTTTTTTTCTTCTCAATTTTTCAAACTTCTCTTTTCTCTTCCATTAATTGCCTTTCCAAAGAGGATGAAAGAGCAGGGGAGGGGAAGAAAGAAAAGACCTAGAGACAGACACACAGGGAACTGAGGAAGATGTGCCCTCTACAGTCATGCATGTGTGACAACAAGATGTGCCTTGTGTTTGGTGCTGGTAACTTTTAGTCCCAAATGAGAAAATAGGAAGAAGGTCCTCAAGCCCAGTTTAAATCTTACTGACCCATCAGCGACCAGCACCTGTCAGCCCTCTGTGCACTGTCTCAGATGACTCCAGTCTCCTGAGCTTCTAGAATCCATTTCATTTTCCATTTTAGCCTTTTCCATTTGTCTTCTATACTCACATGTGTCTTGTGACTTAAGCCAGGTTTAATCTCCAGCAGAGCAGCTCAGAGCAAAGCAGCGACTTTGTTTGATGTGTTTCTTTTATTTTCCTTCTTTTCTTCTCGTCAACCAATTGTAACTGCTCTGGAATGATGATAAAATGGGATTAAAACAGAGATGAGAAAAATCTAATTAGATAATTCAAAATGAATGGAGCCTGAATCACTTGATGAATAGCAGATGACAAAATAAGAAACATAACTTGATTCAGTTTATGGATTGTACATTTACTTGGTAGAATAAAACAGATAAAGTGCCTGGGGTCCCAGGTCTATATTAACACCCAGCATGTGTTAATTCTGCTCCTTTCTAATACCATAATCATCACCATCTAACCAATACCATCTTACATTTATTGAATACTTATCATGAACCAAGCACTATGCATGCAAAGTGAAATATTTTACTCACCCTTCAGGACAACCCAAAAGCACTCCAAGTGTCCGGGTTGGAAAGCTGAAACCTAGAATAAGTACAGTAGTTAAGGTAATGGAGCTACTATATGCTGTGGATGGCATGAGCTCAGGCAGGTAGGGCTGTGGAACCCCTGCTCTCACTATTTCAATCTTTGCCTCTCTTCCTTACTCCATCCTTGTCCATCCTAACCAACCTCTGTAGACCTTGACCCAAAATATCCGTAGACATCTCCAATCTGCACTGGTAGATCACAGTGAGCCTTTTGGTATTGGATGCCTTTGTTACCTCTTAGTCTAGTTTCTTGACTTTGCAGTTCAGGAATGATTCTGGTTCCCAATACTGACATTGAGTCATTCCCCCAAGCTTTAGAATCAGAATCTCTGGTGATAGACTTAAAGCACAGGTAAATTTTTTTTAAACTCCTCAGGTGACACTAGTGTGCAGCCAGGGCTGGGAAGCCACACTGCAGCTGATTCTCTCACCCAAATGTGTCTGTCTATGAGTGAAATCCTAAATCTCCCTGTTCCTTGAAGATGAGATCCATCCAGTCCTGTCAACCAAGTTGTCACACGTTGAACTATTCTTTTTTTTTTCAGAATCAGAAATGTTACAAAAGAATATAAAGGAAAGCCTGATAAAATAGAAGCTTTAAAAGGTAAAAAAATAAAATTAGATAAAAACAACTAAAACACATTTAGTTATTATGTTGATATTGATTTCCTGATTTTAATTCAATTTGTTTTGTTCTTGGTGAGCGAATAGTGGTAGTATCTCCAATTTGAAGTGAGTTATTTAAGCCAGTAAATTTCCCTTTTTACACATTACTTCTACTGCATAAAGGTTAGAAAAAATTGTGTATGCTTTAGAATTATATGTATTTGAAAGATTTACTATGTGATACTAAAATAGCCTAAGGATATCCTGGGATTTTTTTCCTATGAACTTAAATTTCTCTTCTGTAATTTCAAAGATGTTGTGGATAGTTTATGTTTTTCTTTTGTGCATAAAAGTCATTTCCCTCAAAGGATTTTTAGCCACATAATAATTTACCAAACTGTTGATTTATTCTTCAGGTCAATAAATATTAACATCACCTACCATATGCCAGGCAATGCCAGTGAACCTAGGAGTATAACACGTTTCCTGCCTTTTAAACCAAGTAATTTCAAAGTTTCAAAGGGTTAAAAAATAAATTTATAAAAGGTGTTTTATTACTTTTACTGTGAATTTAACAATCTAGTGTATTCATGTTTAGACAACATGGCCATTCAAGGAAATGAAAAAGCAATTAATTAGTTCTATCACAAAATATTATTTATGGTTTTGTTTTTATTTTTCTTCCTTGCCTCTTTTCCTTCCTTTTTTTCCTCTCATCTTTCTTTTCTTTTCTTTTTTCTTCCTAGATCTGGTATTTGACATATATGAAGGCCAAATCACTGCAATACTTGGTCACAGTGGAGCTGGCAAATCAACACTGTTAAACATTCTTAGTGGGCTGTCTGTTCCTACCAAAGGTAAGAAGTTTTTTGCCAAAGTCAGATTGACAAATAAATCAGCTGTTAACATAAAGTCCTTATGATCATTAATTATAAACACAGATAACTAGGGGAAATGGAAATTAAATTGTGGTATTGTTCTAAAGAACTATATAATATTAATTGGCATTTATGGAATTTGAATATTTCATGGTAATTATTTTCATGGTCATTAGTTACCATTTGGCACTCCAGCTTGTATCTGTTAGCTTCGCTGCACAACAAGCATCCCCCAAATCAATGACTTAAAATAAAAATGTTATTATTTCTCATGATTTTATGAGATGACTGGCAGTTTTTCTACCTGGACTGAAGTATTTGGGGCTGAGTGTTTTGACATGGGCTCACTCACATATATGGGCTTCAGCTAAGACTGCTATAGCTCTCTTTCTACATGAACATTCATCTTCCAGGAGTCTAGTCTGGGATTTTCACCTAGTGGTCTCCATGGATCCCAGAAGCAAAAAGGGAGCAAATCCAGAATGGAGGTACACAGCCTCCTCTTGTACCACATTTGCTAAGATTCCCTATGTTATATAGTCAAGTCTAAATGTTAGAAGTGGATAGATAGACTACATCCTAATGGCAAAAGTTGCAGATGGAATCTCTTTTTTTTAATATACCACATGACTGAAATGGAAGTTCATAATGCCTGGATTCTATAAACCTTGAAGATAAAATCTTGCATCTAAAATGCAATTAATAAATACATAGTGATATTTCATTTAGAAATATCTTCATTTAAGCATTATCCTGATATTAAATTTTAATCTTTTTATAGGTTCAGTCACCATCTACAATAATAAGCTTTCAGAAATGGTTGACCTAGAAAACATCAGCAAGCTCACAGGAGTTTGTCCACAGTCCAATGTGCAATTTGACTTCCTCACCGTGAGAGAAAATCTCTGGCTATTTGCTAAAATAAAAGGGATTCAGCTGCATAAAATTGATAAAGAGGTATATAAATATGCCCTAAATAATGTACTGGTCAAAATGAGATTATTAACTATTTGCACTGAGTTTTATGATTCATTAAATTATCTTTGTAAAAGTCATTGTATAAATGTTGGACCAAAAAATATAATTTAGGTATTATCTAACATTTATGTATCATTTACAATGTGCCAAGCGTTATCCTTAACTTTAAGTATAATAATTCATTGATTCCTAAGATGTTAGTACTATTTTATCCCCATTTTACACATGTGGAAACTGAGGTTCAAGAGAGCAGGTAACTTGATTAAGATTATGCAGCTAATTAATGTGGAATAATAGTCATATCCAGGCAGTCTGGCTCAGTATCCCTGTTTTTAACCATTATACTTTTCAGCCTTTTATTTAGATATTAAAAAAAAAAAGAAAGAAAGAAATCTTGGTTTGTGACATAAATATTGTCATTTGGCTAGATACAAAGAGTTTTGCTGGAATTGGAAATGAAAAATATTCAGGACGTCCTTGCTCAAAACTTAAGTGGCGGACAGAAAAGAAAACTAACCTTTGGAATTGCCATTTTAGGAGATCCTCAGGTAAGTCAGACTAAACTTAGAGACGAATTCAAATATTCAACAGTGAAACTTCTGGCAGCAGTTCAAACCTTTTATTTGCGGAGAACATCTATAATAAAGTTTTTATGATAGAATGTTAAACATTAAGAGCAAAACCATAACCATTACATAGATATAAATAATACAGTTTCTACATGTTTCCTCTGTAGATTTTCCTGTTGGATGAACCAACTGCTGGATTGGATCCCTTCTCAAGGCACCAAGTATGGAACCTCCTGAAAGAGCGGAAGGCAGACCGTGTGATCCTCTTCAGCACCCAGTTCATGGACGAGGCTGACATCCTGGCTGGTAATTGCTGGCTCCCTTTAAATATCGTGATGAGGGCTTTATGAGGTTTGAGAAATATGGACTGGTATTCTGAACAGCTGTCTTCTGTAATCTGGTAATCTAGCTGTATCTGGTCCTCTCATCTGAATCCTGGTAATAATATGACTGGGCCCAGTGAGTCTTACTCGCAACCGTGTCCACGTATCTCCTAGAATTTTGTACCCTTTGATTACACAGGGGCCGTGATCTGCCAAGAAGCACTGTTGCTGCGGAGTAAGACTCTGTAGTCTAAGACATTAATCCTTTTACTCAGCATCGAGGTAAATCATCTTGAAACCATCACGTAATTTTGATGTTTGATCCATTAAAATATGTAATGTGTTGATTCTCTGTATTAGAAGATACAGCCACATAACTTAACCTCTTTGCTGGTTGGATGGCAAAACAGTAGCCTCAAGTATGTAAAACAAACAAAACAAAGATTAAAATATGTCTGTTTCAATGAGCCTTTATTAAGCCCTGTATTTAAAAATGTAGAAGCTCTGAATTACAGTTAGATCCTACAGACGATTGTCTTTTGTCGGGAAAGAATGGGCAACTTCTTAACAAATGTTCTTTGCTTCTTCCTTTTCAGATAGGAAGGTGTTTCTCTCCAAAGGGAAGCTGAAGTGTGCGGGCTCTTCTCTGTTTCTAAAGAAGAAATGGGGGATTGGCTATCACTTAAGGTACAGACACTCGAGGAGGCTAGGGGCAAATGAAAAACTGACTAGAGCAAGGCATGGAGCTTGAAGCAAAACGTTCCAACGCAGGAGGAAATAGTTTACTATTACACACAGGTGTTTGTGTTTATGTATACACGTATTTGTGTGGAGATGTGTGTGTGTGCATGTCTGTGTGTCTGTAGAGAGAGAGGAAGAATGTGTGTATAACAGATACTGATTTGGTACATTTTGCAGACAGAGGTTGTAACTCACGACACATTGTTTGTTAAGGAAGGTACATATTAAGGGAGTTTTCTCAACGGACCCACCTTATGTCACACTCTCATCATCTCTCGCCCAGGGTGATAACATAATTTCTTAGGAAGGCTCCTTGTCTACTCCCCTCTCCTCGCTCCTCCTTGTCTTTCTTGTTCTTTCTCTCCTTTCCATCCTCTTCGTTTTATTTTTATCATTATTTTGAATAGTAGCATATTCTAGCTGTTATTTCTCAAGCGATTCAGAGATAAGATATTTAACATTATTTCATTTAAATCTTCAATTTTGTTAAGGTACTTTTGCTTTTACAGATGAAATTATAGGCTCCCTAGGTTAATAAGTGGTAGAGCCAGGAATTGAACTTGGGTAATTTTAACTTCAAGGTCTAGTATCCAAATCCATATTTTAAATTACTTTTTAAGCCTTTCTTTTTTTTTAATTGAAGTGTAGTTGATTTAAAATGTTGTGTTAGTTTCTGGTGTACAGCTAAGTGATTCAGTTATACATATATATATGTATATACTCTTTAATTTATATGTGAATTGATCAGTTTTTCTAAAGTGCAGCTCTGATTTATACTATCATTTATACCTTAAAAAGAAAAAACATGTGATGACAATAAGACAAAGCAAACAAAAAAACCTCTAATGGAATTTTACTTACCAGAGTCCGAACAGAGTCTGAACGATGTAGCCAAGTGATGCTGGCGTGGTCCATCGCATTGTGACTCCTGTATCGGCTGCCCTTACCCAATTCAATACCCTCTAGTTAAAATGAATTATTCATTGTTCCTTGCACAAGCCCTATCATGGCCTACATTTCCCATGGTCTGAGGTCACTCCTTGAAGTTGGCAGTTTTCTCGAACCCATTCGAGTCCTAAGGAGTTACTTGAATGCTATCTCATGAAGCTTTTGTTAATCTTCCAGCTCTCTGTATTATCCCAATGTTTTGATTTCCTAAAGCATGTTGTTTGAATCTCTTCTTGGAAATGAACTAAACTCTCTGAAATTCAGTTTTCTCACCGAGACGGTGGGAATAATAATGCCTAGTTGCAAGTAAAAATTCTAGGAAAATAACGGGTGGCCTCCAGCACATGGCACGACAGCATAACATGTTCTCAAAGCGAAAAAACAAAACAAAGCAAAGCAAAAAAATGCTAGTCAAGATCGCTGCCCAATTCATGGGCTCTGGACAGTAATGTATGTTAAGTAGCTTCTTTCTTCTTCTGAATCTCGGACAGCAAACTATGGCCCGTGAACCAGACTCAAACCACTTTCTGTTTTTGTAAATAAACTTTGGTTGGAGCACAGCTCTTCCCATTTGTTTAGATACTGGCTGTGGCTGCTTCTGTGTCACAGTGGCAGTGCTGAATAGTCGCAGCAGAGATCTGCTGGGCTGAAAAGCATGGAGTATTTACTCTCTAGCCATTTATCGGAAAAGTTTGCTGATCTCCACTTTGAAGCTCTGAACTCCTCGAGGGAGGACACGTGTACTGCTCACACAGTCCTCTCCAGCACCCAGTTCTTGAAACTGGCCAAGAAATAGATCTTGATTTGTTTGTATTTCCAGGGCAGCAGCATCCCGGAGAACAATTATGATATTTTTCCTTGATATTCCCTCTGTGGGTTTTACTGCTTCTAAAAATGGCGTCTTTCTTGTATGTTCATAATCTTATGTGTAAGTAGAATAATTGTGACATAAGCGTTTGAGCAAATACAATAGCTGCCACTTCTTAAGGACTTGCTAATTGCAAACATCACCATTATTTAGTTCTGAGAACAACCCTGGATGTTAGGAGTCATTATTCTATTTAATGAGGAAACCATTTAGATAGGGTTAATGACACGTTTCTAATGGCACAACCAAGTTTCAAAGGCAAGTCACTACTGATATTGTATCTACTGTGTACTTTATAACCTTTCAAAAACAAATTGGGGGCGGGGAAGGGAGGTAATTAGGTTTATTTATTTAATTTAATGGAGGTCCTGGGGATTGAACCCAGGACCTCCTGCATGCTAAGCACACACTCTACCACTGAGCTATACCTCCCCCCCTTATAACTTTTATTAATAAATTAAAAAAAATTTTCTACATTGGGAAAATATCTGTTTTTAAGTGGACTGACTGATTTTCCCAATGATACCTTGTTCTTAGTCAAAGTTCTAGGGTTAGCACTACAAAGAAGGCAAAAATTAGTGAGCTCATGAACCCAGAACCCACATTCATCCGTAATTAATTTCTGTCTATAGCCCCTTTTTCTTCATAGCACTTATTGGTAATTATTTTACCGTTTTCTTGTTTTCTTCCTGTCTCTCCCACTAGACAGTCAACTCCATGAGGACAGAATAGCACTGTTTTATCCATCATTGTGTACACTTAGTACTTAGTTTGTCTTTGTCACATGCTGAGAACTTGGGAAGTTGGCACTGGTTGACCAAGTTGAATGACTGAACCTGTTTTGTGCCTACGCCTATCAAAAGGCCCGTGTTCTTGCCCAATACAATAATCCTGTGGAGCCAACTTACACTCCCTTTGAAACATCTTCAACATTTTCCCCCTTGGATGGTCTTGATCTTTGCTGCTCTGTGTCCCTGGTATTTCTGCTCTGTAAGCTATTCTCTCCTTTAAGGACCTGAGTCAATGATCAGTCTTCTCTAGGGACTATCCTCGAATGACCTGACCCAAAATTCTGACTAGTTCATTCTTTGCTTCCCCCCATCACTTTTTTAAGATCTGCTTTTTTTCATCCTCTTATTTAATGGTTAGATGGCCTATTTCTTGCATTAGGTTTTAATTGATTTTTCTTTGTCCTGTAGAGTCATTATTTTTTTCTATGCTAGTGGTGACGATGGCAAATAACTCATTTTTTTTTTGGAACACCAGTTTGCAGTTGAATGCAATGTGTGTTCAGGAAATAATAACATCACTTGTGAAACAGCACATCCCTGAAGCCAAATTATCAGCAGAAAGTGAAGGAAAGCTTGTCTATACACTGCCCTTAGAAAGAACAAGTAAATTTCCAGGTAATGTATATGAACGCCATGAAATGCAGTGTAATGCATAAATAATATTAATAATAGTGCTAATAATTATTATAACTAACACTTATTGAGAGCTTACAGTGTATTCAGGTATTTGAAACAGGATGCAAAGAATAGTACAATAATTGGATTATTTTATCGATAGTGAGAAAGACTGTAACCTAGTAGTTGCATTTTGATGTCTGAGCATTTCAGGGAGCTTCTTCAGTCCTGCATTCCCTTTGTGGTGTGGGTAGCAGAGCAGTCTAGGATTCATAGCCCTGCAGGAATGCAAATGGCTGGAAACCTTTGGCTTAACCATTATATTAAACATCCCCATGATATGACTCTTTCTTCTCCTGACAAGACTTTTGTGATCACTTTGGGTTTTTCAGGCCAATACGTAAAAGTGTACTTGACAGCTATTTTGAATTCTCTGTCAGGAAAAACAATACAGCTCCATTTCATGAGAATTGGTTTCCAGAGATTTAGTTTATTTCTTTGGAACACCTTCACCTGATTTTTCAATTTTCTTGGCTCCCCGTGCTGATGTCAGCGCATTCGATAAAGCAGGTGCCTCTCCCAGCCTTCACAGACGGGCTTTGTTCAGGAGAAGATCCCAGCAATCAGCTCCGTCAGAAATTCTAGACGCCTCTATCACCTCTGTTGCTCCCCAGGGAGAAGCAGGCAGCGGTGGTTTTTGTCGGCTCACTCCGCGGTGAGCCAGGGGAGTGAGCTGTGGCCTTATGTAACCTGTGATCGTCAAGATGTGCGCAGCTGGCGGAGTGATAGACACGCCGTACAAAACAGAGGCTCTAGAAATAGACCCACACGAAGGGCCCAACTGATTCTTGACAAAGATGGAAAAGCAATCCGATGGATGAAAGATAGTCCTTTCAATAAACCGTGCTGGAGAAAGCAGCTCCACTGGCGTAGAAATGAACCTCAGCCTCACACTTTGCACAGGAATTACCTCAGTATAGTCATGCACTTAAAGATAGAATGTAAAACTATTGAAAAAATTGAAAATAAAGAGGAGAAAATCTTCAAGATCTAGACCTAGGCAAAGAGTTCTTAGACTTGACGCCAAAATCACAATCCATAAAAGGAAAAAATTATAAATTGTCCTTCATTGGAATTGAAAACATTTAGCTTTGTGAAAGAGCCTGTTAAGAAGATTAAAAAAAAAAAAAAACTACAGGCTGGCAGAAAGGATTTGCACACTATGTGTCTCACAAAGGACTAGTATTTCAAAAGTATAAAAAAATTCTGAAAACTCAACTGTGAAAAACAAATAATCCAATTGGAAAATGGGCAAAAGATAGGAAGAGACATTTCATTGAAGAAGGTACACAGCTGGCCAACCATCACATGAAATGATGTCCCACATCACGTGTCATTAGGGAAAAGCAAATTAAACCCACTGTGAGTTATCACTACCTACTTATCAAAATGAATTAAAAATGTTTTTAATAGTAGTAATCTTCAGTGCTGGCAAGGATGTGAGGAACATGGATCGCTCATACATTGCTAGTGGGAGTGTAAAATGGCACGATTACTCTGGAGAAGATTTTGCAGTTTCTTTAAAACACTAAGCCTGCAATTACCCATACAACTGAGTAATTGCACTTCTGAGCACTTAGCCTAGAGATATGAGCACACGTTCACACAGAAACCTGTACATGTTTATTTCAGCTTTCTTTGGAACAGACAAGGAAACCACCCAGTTTAACAAGTGAATGGTTAAATAAACTGTGGTATATCCATGACAGCCAGTACCACCCAACAGTAGAAGGGAACAAGCTACTGGTTGGTGTACACAACCTGGCTGAATGTTCAGAGAACTGTGCTCAGTTGAAAGGGCCAAGCCCAGAAGTTGCCTCCTGTATGACTCAACTTGCAATAACACTCTTGAAATAACAAAATTATAGAAATGGAGAACGGATGAGTGGTTGCCATGGGTTAGGAGAAGATGGGATCAGAA